ATAAGAAATGGCAAATGTTGAATCTCGACGACTACCAGATGGACAGGAATAAAGGACCCGAGAGCCATGAGGGCAATACGAGAGTCAACGACAACCACAAAGAAGATTGACAACGAGAAAGCAGGAAACGAAGAGCACAGAGAATAACATAAAGTTCCGCTGTGAAGATGCTAGTCTTCGGAGGTAAGCGATACATATAAGTGCTGTCAGGAAAAACAACAGAGTAGTCTACACTGTCCGCAAACTTAGACCCATCGGTGAAGATGGAAACGGAGAGGGAGTGTAAAGAAAAGTGCTCAAGGAAAAGGCGTTTCAGAACCGAAGGAGGAGTAAAAGCTTTAGTGATGAGGGTTAAGGATGTACAATTCTGCGGAAGAGGGACTCTCCATGAGGGCCAAAGAAGGAACAACACAAGGAGAAATATTAGAAATACGAACTGAAAGAGAATCCTGTAAGTGAGATAACAGGACAGAAAGAGGGAGGTGGTGAAGAGGAACAGGAACCACAGGAGGGGTCACGGTCACTTAACGGAGCGCCGTCCTGCAACGTATTGTCCAAATTGCATTGTCCCTCTTACGGTCATGCATATCCTTGTTGAATGTCCTGACTTCCGGGACGAGCGTGTGTCTTGTTTTCCAACCGTCCCCCGCGGTCGCTTATCCCTCGATAAAATTCTTGGTGACTCGGATACTTTTGATATCATTAAAGCAAGACAGAGGCGAGAGGAAGGATGTTGCAAGGACCCCCGGTTGTCAAGATGCAGAACAATGGAGAGGCGATGGAAAAAGTAAGGGGACAAAGGGAGCATCAGAGCAAATCAAGAGAGCAGAAGAGTTAGGAGCCCCAGCAACAGCTGGGGAGGGGGGAGAGAAAGCAACAGCCACGGAAACGACCAGGACGAGCATCAAGCATTGGCTCCTGGACACAGACACAAAGGGGTGAAAACCGTGAAATCAGAAGTTGGAGTTCAAGGAAATTGGAGTAATAACCATGAATGTTCCACTGAAGAATAGACATCAACAAGAAGAGAAAGGACAGCAACAGAGAACAATGAAGAAACAAAGGTTAAAAGGGAACACAGCACGTTAAAGAAGCGCAGGGTCAGGGTCAGCGAAGTCAGGGTTAGGGGGCATGGGTAAACTGAGTAAAGATGGAGGGAAGGGAGCGGGAGGTCAGACCAGAAGGGGATGTGCAGGGACAGGAGGAGGAGGAGGAGGGGAAGGGGGGGACAACCGAGGGTCAAGGACAGCAGCAGGAGGGGCAGAAATCAGGAAGTGCCCCTCAGCAAGGGCAGCAACTGAAGGAGAAGCGGAGGTCAAAGAAACCTCCATAGCAGGAACAGGGGGCGCAACTACCGAAATGGGAGGGGATGGAGAAAGTGTGTCAGAGGTAGGGGGTGTGGAAGAAAGTGAAGCCTTCTTACCCGCCGGGAAGAAGGAAGGAGAGGAGAGGAGCCAGGCTTTCGCTTCTGACTCAAAAAGACAGGCGTCCCAGCAACAATGTACTGGGCAACAGATTCAAGCATCTCAACAGAAAAAGCAAAACAAGAGCAAACACGACGGCCGTTGGGAGAGCGATGGACATCAGCCCGCACTGACAGGCAGCGGGGAGAGCTAAGAGACGGAGGAGAAGGACGGGAAGGAGGATTGGAGGGAGACGAGGAAGAAGACACAGGAGACATGACAGACTGGGCAGAAAGAAGGGGAACCCCAGACAGAGCCATGAGGGGGACCCTTTGGGACAGAACTCATGGGAACAGAGGAGGTGGTGATGGGCGTGTCTGGGTCTAAGGGCTGGAAACAGTTATGAGATTGAGGAAGGACGAGGAGAGGAAGAGCGCAACACGTGAGCATAAGAGACGTTAGCATAAGGTGGGAGACAGTGAACTTGGCGCCTCTTTTCAGGAAAAGACAAACGTTCCCGGTGCTTCAAGTTGAGGACGGCTGCCTCAAGCTTGTAATGTATACACACGCAGGAGAAGGTAGGGTGGGTCTCACCGCAATTGAGGCAGCGAGCCTGGGGAGAAGTGCACTCCGACTTAGAGTGACCTTTGTCCCCACACACAGGACAGAGACAGTACCGGAGCAGCGGAGGGTTCCATGCCCAAACCTCCAGCACTCATTACAGAGCCGAGGAGAGGGAATGTACTCCTGGACAGAGCCTGGCATCAGCAAGAATGACAGAGCGGAAGGGTCCTAGTGGAGGGGGCCGAGCGGACAGCACGCTGGACACATGACCCTGTGGTCCTGGGTTCGATCCCGGGTGCCGGTGAGAAACGATGGACAGAGTTTCTTTCACCCTATGCCCCTGTTACCTAGCAGTAAATAGGTACCTGGGAGTTAGTCAGCTGTCATGGGCTGCTTCCTGGGGGTGGAGGCCTAGTCGAGGACTGGGCCGCAGGGACAAAAAAAAAAATCAACTCAAGATAACCTTACCATCAAAAGTAATCTTCACAACCCGAAGGGGTTGACGGCGATGACCACAAGGGGGATGAATAAACGAGTCTACCTGGAGGACAGAATGGCCCTGGGCTTCGAGAATATGCTGAATATCTTGGTGACAATCCTGTAGATTCCAAACACCGGTTGCAACATGGAATGGGAGGAGAATAGTGCCAACACTGGCATTCAACCGAGCATTCTTGGAGACCCGAACAGGAGTCTCGCCAAGGCAGGATAAGGCGGCTAAGCGGGAGGCTGCATCCTGAGGAGCAGCAGCAACAATACGTGTACCGAGACAGGTTGGGTTGAAGATAACAGAGACATCTACTGAATCAACAAGGTGCCTATGGAGGGAGAAATCATCAGGAGGCGTAGAATCAAGAGGGAGATCAAAATATTTGGCCCACGAAGCGGGACCAAACAAGGCTTGATACGCATCAGTATGGGAAGGAATCGAGAGAGTGTAGCCGTGGCGAGGACGGCGTTGAGAACCCCCAGAGAGAGAGAGAGAGAGAGAGGGGTTAAAAGGCGCAGTAGTCACAACTAGAGATTGAGCTGTGCCAGGGGACGAGGTGGTCACCACTGGGGGCTTGGGGCTCGACCCAACCACAGAGGAGGGAGGGGAGCTGAGGGGGAGTAGTTAGGAGGGTCAAAGGAGGAGCAAGGTCGGGGCCTAATGTTGCGGGGGCTACAGAGCCTGGTCTTCCAACACAGGCCGACTCGGGGGCTTGGTTGCCCACCCCACGAGCCCGAGAAGGTATAAGAGGAACATTAATTGACATACAGACGAGGAAACACTTTCATTCACGAATGTGCCCCCACACCCACCAGGGAGCCACAATTAGAGGCAGGACACCCAACAAGAGACTTATTGCCGATCTCGCTGGGGCCCTCCAGGAGTGCATCGTGAGTATACGCCCCACAAACGCCACCTTAAGAACTGTCAGTCCGTCGAGAACGGGTTCAGTGACAAAAGGAGGATTGGCAATAAAAGGGTCCAATCGCTCGAGATGTTGGGCACTACAGTTCTACGGGTGCAAGAGTATGCCTCCTCAAACACCCAGGCATCAAAACAAAAGAAGGCCGAAAGAATGATCAAAACAGGCAAAAGGTCAGCGGGATATGACAATTTGAAAGGAGAAGAGGGGGAGAAAAATGAAACACGAGGAAAAGGAAAAGATGTCTGGCACAATTGGTAAAGACAGCAGCAGGAAAATAAGGCTGCAAAAAGACAGAGGACTGACCCATGGAGCATCACACTCCGGCAGCCACCCACTAAGCCCCCCTCACGACGACAACGGGCCAGACTGGGAGGGGGGAAATCATCTCAAGATAACCCATGGCCCTGTCCTCAACCAGGCCGTCGTCCCTTCACCTTCTAGTGTGTGGTCTGGTCAACATCTTGGGTACCTATTTACTAAGTGAACAGAGACATTAAGTGAAAAGAAACATGCCAAACCATTTATGTACTGCCTGGGAATGTCACCTAGGATCCTCAATTGTGAGTTAAGAACAAAACCAGTTGTACTAATAGACTGGGTGGATCATTTTCAGAGTTGTTTCTGTAATACTTGTTGTCCATTTTGCTTAACTACCTTTCTGGGGGTTTGTTTCTCTGGTGAGGGTAATCATGAATTCCCTGCTCCCCGTGAGACAGTGAGAACCAGATTTTGGCCTCTGGTCTCTGGTAGGAGAGCAAGTGTGTCTTATAGGTGTGGAACTATCTCAATGTAGCAAGCAACAGGGCAGCCTGTGCTCCTAAGGTTTCCCAATGTCATGAAAATGGTAAAATTAAAGTGTCCTTTCCTAATCTATCAGAGGACCCAAATCACTTTCGTGAGACGCTTACATTTTCAAGTACAACAATTTTTGGCCTTATGTAACGCATACGATCGAAATGCGACGTTCTTTGTAAGAGGACTGGTTGAACAGGGAGCCATCATTCTCCTCTCCAGAAATGGATCGTAGGACTTCAAAAAGTTTATGCTTTGTATTACTGAATTAGTCCAAATGGCATTAAAAAAATGGAAAAGTAAGTAGAGATTCCAACTCAACCTGCCCAAAGCATAAATAATCCTAGGCCTAACATATGCTATCTTCGGCCTCAAAGTACATTTACTATACTAGGCCTAGGAATGTTTAAGTTTGGTTTAGATTTTCAAGTTTCTGCAAAGTTAACAGTACAAAATGTGAACATTGCTAGCTGCAATAGTCCATTTTGTAAGCTCGACCAAATAGTTCCAATAAGTACTATCATTTTAGGATGAGGTATTGGTTCCAACAAACTATTATGCCAAACATCCACAAAGTATTAATCAAGAGATTCACTACTAGATGAAAATGATTTGAGATTACCTGAAATTAAAAAGTAATGCCATAAAGAATTGCAACTAATAACCTAATTTTGAATGTTTATAATACAGATGGCTATTTATGTAAAATTATGTACAAAAAAAAATAAAAAATAAAAAAATTGTAAAATAACCTTGAAAGCAAAATCAAGAACAGAGAGTGCAAGGACAGCCAACATAAACAAAAAACTGTAAAAGTATATTCTACCTATGTCATTGGTGCCGCATTCCCTCTGGGAACTCCCCATCCTTGAAGGGGTGGCCACATGTATATTCTTCCCCAGACATTCAAATGCCTTCAAGTGTTTATTAAAGACTCTTGAATGAGCACCTGAAACATTTGTTAAAGATTCTACATGCTGGCTTGGCAAGCATAAAGGTGAAGCAGCGCCCATCTGCTTACACCAAGAAACAAGAATGTACAAAAAATTAGGCTGTCCTCGGCAAGCACATGCAAGTGAGATTATAAAAAAAAGAAACATGAAAAGACAGAATGGTTCAAGTATGCTGAAAAAATAATAGAGAATTGTGAGAGTAAGCTGTATTGACAGCACATAATGTGAAGGTGACGATAATGCAGCAGATTTACCAATTGTCATTGATGTACCCGTATAAAAGTTGTACAGAATAAAAGGGCTACTGCCCTCATATCCTTCCCTCCCAGTTGAAATTACTATATCACATTCCTAGATAATAATGTTAATAATAATTCATTGTGTCAGGGGACAGGCAGCCAGTTTATACATATAACATGTATAAACATACTTATATCAATGGCTTATATCAATGTTCCCCACCCCCACACACATGGTCAAATTACTGACCCTCCCCAGGATGCAAACCCACAACACGCTAACTCCTAGATACCTATTTACTGTTAAGTGGACAGGTGCACGAGGTGAAAGGAAATGCACCCAACCATTTCAGTGCTACCCAGGATTTGAATCTTGAATTCTCTATTGTGAGTCTAGAACGAAACCGACTGTAATACCGAGACCCTGTTGATATTGCTGACATTCCATGATATTAACTAACCCCAGTCAATATCTTATATGAGCCAATACAAAAATATAATGACTTTCTGGTCTCCTAAAATATTTTACAGTTGTTGGAGCTGCCACCGTGAGGAACTGTATCAAATACTTGCTAGTAGTCTAGGAAGATGCAGACTACTAATCAATTCTTCACTTATCTTATTTGGGTCCTCCTGTCATAGAATTCAGCCAAGTTTCTTAAGCATGATTTTCTCTCTCTGTCTCAAGCTGTGTTGTGCCTGTTATAAAATTTACTTCCCCCAAATGTTCTACAATCCTTTTCACTGATGATTTGTTTTCAGCATTCTGCCTGGAATGCATGTTAATGACACTGATCTGTAGTTTAGTGCTTCATATCTGTCCCTTATCTTGAATACTCATACTACAATTGCCTTTATTTTTCCAGATTTCCAATAGCTCTCCTGTCTCTAGTGGTGTTGAACACTTTAGTTAATGGGTAACACAAGATCTCATCAGCTTCCTTCAGTGATTTTCCTATGGTGATATCTGATCATGGTTGTTGTGGTGTCCATACAAGACTTGTACTATACAGAACTTAACATGTACAGTATAATTTGTGAGGTTTTTTTTTAGTGGCCAAGTACTACTGATACTGGACATGTCCAATCCATGTGTGGCATTATATCTTGTTACTCAAGGTATTGCATCCATTATTCATGTAATAGTAAATTACTTATCAGTAGAAAATATATCTGTTAGCAAGAGTTCTTTGACTAGATCAGATAGGAGGAGGAAGACATATCTTAACCTTTAAACTGTGCAAAACATCATATGATGTGTGACATTGAAGAGGGCATAATTCAAAAAAATAATTGAATTATGTAAAAATTACTTAAAAATGTTAAATCTCCAACTTATTGGCTTCAGCTTCGTGAAACTTTCATAAAAATATTTTCAGAAATTGATTTTAGGCGAATATTTAAAAAAAAAAAAAAAGTTTTGTTGATAAAGAGAACGGCTCCTATTAACTGGAACTGATGGATAATGCAATAATAAAGAGATGCAAGCACCTGTCCCACACACAAAGAAGAATAGTAGTAAGAAGTGTCCACAAAGTGGATATACAGTTGGTGCCTTTATAGCATTGGTGAGTAATACATAACACAAATAATGAGTAATTTTGTTATTATGATCTATTTTGTTACTGTATATATCATATAAATACACTGCCAAATTTTAATCAGAAAGTAATCAGTTACTTTCAACCATGTCAAAAAAATATTTTTATTTGGGATTTTTTTTTCCTCCTTTGTTTATTTGAATTTATTTTAACCTTTACATCCTGGAGAATGCATACTCATCCCAAACTATGTGAAGCAAGAATTAAATTGGTCAACAAATAAATTAAGTTACAACTCAGAACTTAGGACTTTGAATTTTTTTTGGATGATTTTTTTTTTACAGATTTCAAACTATTTTCCTTGTTTCTTTAGGTTGTTTTGATGATCAGGGACCAGATTAGGGCTTTTTTACTTATATAACGTATACCCTAAATATATTCCCTAAATCATTATTATAATAATCCCTATATTTTTTTTGGGGGGGGGAGGTTAATTTTTCTGGACTTCATTTCTACACACATTGACCTACAACTTTCACATACTTGAGTACAAATGCCAAACAATATTTATTACAACATACAAGTAAATTTATGAATTAGAACTGCCTTATTCATTGTTGATAACTTCAACTTCAATTATATCTACAACTAGAGTTTCAACTTACTTCAGTATCCAAAAATCTAGTTTCTGACCGATTCTCACCATTTTTACATACAGTGTGCACAGCTGTCTGTTCTACAATCCCTATAAAATTGATTTGTTTACACTCTCTAAACGTTTGGAGTTATAAATTTTTATTGTCTAAATTTGCACATATTTTAAATGCCACATTGACAATTTTTTTTTACAGTAAACTATACTGAAAACCTATATTCTAAATATATCAAAATGAAGATCACATGCTATTCTGAGAGCATAATAACACCAAATGAACAGTTGGTGATATTTTTATATTTTTGCAGCTGATTTCAAAATCTGAAGTTTTCAATATTCAATTTTATAATTTTTTTTATTTTCTTGTTTTTCAAGTTACAATGGTATCATTTAGACAAAGTTGGAGCATTTTCCTAGTAGATTATTCACAAAACATTTGAAAGAGTTTTAGAAATTTTAAAAACTGAGTTCAACGTCACACACCATATGAGGTTTTGCACAGTTTAAGGTTAACAGACAAAAATCCTAAAATAATGGAATAAGTGATGACTGTTGTGGGAGTGAGTTGCCTGGCAAAATAGTGTGGTGTTGGCACAAGCACTGTTTCTGAAACAAAAAAGCAGAAAGTACAGATCTTAGAATTTATATATTGCCAGAAGAGAGAATTCTGGTGGCAAAGATTGATGAAAAAATGCTCAGGGGCTAAAATTTTGATGCGTTGTATCAGGCAGCATACAAGGATGAGGATGATCTATCCAAAAAAAATCTAATAATTTTATATTAAAAATACCTGTTTATTGTCTCTAAACATGCACAAACATGTCTTCTATCATTTATGGTAAGATACAAAAATATTTAGTGAAAGATAATAAAAATGCAAAGAATGCTAAAATTTAAAATATCTGTAAGATCAGGGAACAAGCTTTGGAACCAATTTATATGGATTGTCAAGGTTGTACTGAAGAAAATTAAGCTCTCTAACCCTATATTTTCATGACACTAGGGAACATAAATGTTTTGTTTATGGGTATTGAAAGAGCTAGTCAAAATGCTGTTCAGGCATAGAGTAAAAACAAGGCTTTGAACCTTAGTGAAAAGCTTATTTATAATTTGAATCATTCAGCTGGTCCATCATGCAAGATCCAAGTGTGTCCTTGGACATGAATTGAGCAATCAAACAAGTGCAATATTACATCAAGGCATAACAGGGAATTTTCAAGCATTCATTAGGGATCATAATGTGTGAAGGAGTCACTGGCATCCAGACTAGAAATAATTATCTGAAAGATATAAAAAATTCCAAGCCATTCCAAGCTCTGGTTTGTTATTACAAGTAATTGCAAAACAAAAGCTTACACAAACTATTTACTGGGCTGCCAAGTTTAAACCTGCCACCAGGTGCCAGCACCTCACTCAACCTGGTGTTCACTGACCCAAGCCAGTTCACATACAACCTGGTAAGCCATGAAACCTGTACCCAGGCCTGAAAAAAGAAAAGACAGGGATCGAGAGCAAGTGAACAGTATGGCTAAAAATGGAGCATTTCAGGAGCTTCAAAGCCTTATTTCTGAGCTCTTGCATTTGGTAGTTCCTTCACATAATAAGTCTAAAATTAAAAGATGAAAACAAAAATTGAGTAATACTCGCTTGGAATATATTACAATTAGTATAGGATGCCACAGATGGGAGAATTACCAGATATCTGGAAAAAGGCAAATGTAGTTCCAATATTCAAGAAAAGACAGATATGAAGTGCTCAACTATACAACCAGTGGTATTGACTTGCATGCGTCGCTCATTCATGCCGACTCCACCCTCGATCCGATAAGACTCGAGCTGAACCAGAACCCAAAGCAACAGCTGAACCGGTTGAGGTACAGGGAACCAAACCTTGACCAGTCCTGCCAAAAAGCGTCTACCGCGATGGCAGTGCAGTCAGGGAAGAGTGCCACATATATGGGGAGACGCCTTGACCACACCGACACAAAGAGGTCACTTCCAGGGGCCCGAACGTCTAGCAGGGCCAACTGAACGAGTCGGCTTCAATCATCCATTCCGTAGACAGGGGACTGAACCACGACAGGCTGTCTGCCAGAACATTGGACACTCCCTGGATATGAACTGCATGGAGCTAAACCCTGAGAACTCAACAGAAGCGCCACTCTAAGTGACCAGCCACAAAGAGCCATGGATTGCAGAGATCCCCCGCGGTTCAGGCAATGAATCACTGGAATGCAGTTCGAATGTAGCCGGATCATAGAGTCCCGAGCGAGCCAAATTCGATGAAGCATAAGCCAAACTGCTACAAAATCCCGCACCGTACTGTGAGCCCGATGGAAGGATGGAGCCCACTGCCCCATGGCCAGCCTGGTAAGCACAGGACACAAAGCCCCAGCCAAGAGACGAGGAGTCCGTAAACACATCAAGTGAGAGCTCAGGTAGGTGCCAAGGCGTTGAACCACGAAAAACCCAAAGAGGAAACCGGCGATGCAATGCCCATGGAGGTCAAACCCAGCGATTGAGAGAGAGGCTTCTGGTCCTTAAAGGAACCAGAACAGATG